TCCATTAACGGATAAGTAAGAGAAGTGAATAGATGAAATATAGATATACCTATAGATATATACATGTACTATATACTGTATACATATAAACATATTCCTTCACTTTTGTTGATGTATTGTAAGGTGTATTTAGTCAATACTCAAGAAACGGAAAAAATAAAGACATTATTAACCATTTAAGGGTTTCTAACATCTTTTGAAACTATAACAAAGGTCTTAAGAGTCATTTTTGATTCCTCAGTAATTTCTCTCTTAGTGTTCTTGAGGAAGTAGAAATACAGATGATTGTGTATTCTTTATTTCTTAAAGTCTATGAAAAAAATTATCTTGTTAAATATTTATATGGTGTTAAAAAGTGGGAATGAAATTGTGGCTTGACATATATTTAAGAATATGATTTAAAATTGTAAACAAAAAGTTGGGAAATGAAATCTTTTATAAGAATATGGTAATTTTTATTATCCATTTATTTGGCTTTTTTCAAGAATTAAGAGAAATATCTATAGAACAAAAGTGAAACAAATCATAGAAAAAGGAAAGTGTAATATGGCAACAAATATTAGGATGTTTCTGTTTTTTTAATATTTTGTTCTTTCTCTATCCTCTATTTGGCCATCAAGCATTTAGTTATTCTGATAATGGCTAAAACATTCACCCCAAAATTAACTGAATTTGGTTAGCACTAATTTTAAAAATTATTTATCTTTTCAACAATAGCAAGTCAAAAAGATGAATATTATAGTGATGGGTTTAGCTATAGCTGTTTTGATGTAATGATGTATGACATTTATATGCGTCTTGACCCGCTCTGATTAGAGAGAAGGTGAGCTGGCTGTACACAGCACATGCCCTGCCAGAAAGGCTAGACTGTTACATAATAATTATGTCACAGAAAATTCTGACCTTGTCATAATAGAGTTAATTAGTTTGATATTAAGGCAGAATATTATTTCATGAATATATGTATTTCTGATGGAATACATATATTCATATACATATACATGGTTAAATACATCTCTTGTATTGTGAAGATATTCATTCTCATTCATACCTTTTCTACATTTGTCATGAATATAGTTCATACTATTAACCCCTAGACTGTGTATATTGTTTTAGGATTAGGAATCACTTTTAATGCTATGTATGAAGTGTTTATATTATTTAAGTAGTATGCAAAAGGAAATTCATGAATTGAATAATGTTTAACAAGTACTAGAAATGTATTATACTGCCTTCCAAGTTTCGCTGGATGATAATTGTCTAAATCAGGAGAATCAAACTCATGACTCTTGGCTTATTTACTATTTCAGTCTTGCAGTTGGCCATTTTATGTGATTAATTGAGCTAGTCCTTCGTCTTTTTAAGATTATCACTTACACTCTAATATTTATTTCTTTTTCTAATATTGCATTTTTGTAAGGAATGAAATAGCCTCCTACTTTTTTACATCAACCATATGGCTGTTAAATAGCCTTCTACTTTTTTACATCAACCATATGGCTGTTAAATAGCCTTCTACTTTCTTACATCAACCATATGGCCGTTAAATGTATGGCTGTTAAATAGGGCCGTTACCTTCTACTTTCTTACATCAACCATATGGCCGTTCCTTCTACTTTTTTACATCAACCATATGGCCATTAAATAACCTACTACTTTTTTACATCAACCATATGGCCATTTCATCATGTTGACTAAGGTGGTTTTGATCTCATAGTTATCTGGTGTGCATACTGTATACTAAGGTGAAATGTGGCTGCATGGGTAAAGGAGTTTGACACACCTGGTCTAAATGCAACAAGACCAAATAACATTGTAGTATTACAGTTTATTATTATTATCACCAACCAGTCAATTTTCAAATAATATCATCCTCAGTGTTACCATGTCACCCACTATCACTAACCTGTCACCTGTATAGTTGCCACATGAAAAAAGAGAAAAGAAAAGGTATAATGATCAATATACTGCAAGTAAGCAAGTAAAGTTGTTTTTTTCTTTTTTGTTAGCAGTGTGAGTGAGTGAGTGAGTGAGTGACGCAGTGCACTGCCCGCCACATACACTCGTACATGCACATGTGTGTTTGTTCAAAACACTATAAGTCACAAAATTACACTCATAAGAAAAGAAGAGAAAAGAAATGAAAGAATGAAAGAAAAGGGCCAAGTACAACCAACAGTAACTCTATTATAATAGAGTTACAAACAAGCATAATAAAATGTACAGTGACTACACACATTTTCTCAAGCTATTTCACTGCAAATTTATGGAAATTTAGCAAAAACTGTTTTTTTCCCCCTAGAGGTCTCTCTGTACAGGATTCGGACTATGGCTGTACAGTTATAGATATATAACTAATATATATTTGTTTATGCCACACTTGCCTTGCAATGTGTTTCCTATTGTTTTGGATGAGTTTCAAATCATTTGACCTTCACTACCTAACCTAGCATATCCTAGCCTTCGTCTAACCAGGGTTCCACCTAGCCGTGGCCTCTAGACCCCCACCACCTAACCCTGCAAGGCACTGAAGGGGGGGGCTGCACTCCCCATAGTTTTCCTTTTTTTTTTTCCTTTGACTAATTTATTATCATCATCAACATTATTATTTTTTTTTTTTTTTTTTTTTTTTTTTTATTGTCATCATCAATTTATATTAGTATTTTCATTATTATTAATACTAATATTATTTTTGTAACTGTAGTTAATTACTAATATATATCCTTTGAATTTTTAAATATAAATATATTTTTGTTTATCTATAAATACAAGTATTTATAAATGTGTGTGTTTGTGTGTGCTTTATTAATTACACATAAGTATGTATCTGAAGATAAACTTTTAAATTCAACCAAAGCACTCATTCTTGAGGAACCCAATACAAGCATTCTAATGCACGCACTTTGAAATTCCAGTACGATGCCATACGGAGAATGGTTGATGAGAACTACGTGGTCACTTTCCTAGAAGTGAAGAATGCAGGCGTACTTCAAGGGCGAGTATACATCAAACTCTTAGATGATGCTGGTCGGACGCGCCAGTTCATGTACTTCTGCTCGGGGGAGAGAGGACCTTCGTACGCCAACACCCACTTCCTGGAGGTTCTCCACAAGGGCCAGCCCGGGGAACAGGTCTGGGGCGGAGATTACGAGAATGATGATGGCACTGGGGGAGCAGCTTTACCGGGGATGGAACGTGGTGAGGAAAACTTCCACAGCATAGACCCTGGGCTCGTGGTGGGCTACTATTTCCCAGGTTATGGCTACGACCACAACCCTTCCCAGTTTGGAATATATGTGGCCGAGTGGTGCTACACCTCAGACATGTCCTCCATTGGGATGGTGATAGACGGTTTGGACATAATCTCTGCGGTGGCCAAGCTTCCAGATGTTAGAGAAAGCTGTGTGTCTGATTGTGGATTTTTGCTGTTTCACTAAGCAGAAGGACAACAGAAAAAGGGAAAGATTGTTTTAAGAAGGAAGATTTAGTTGACTGATATTTGACCAATGAAGTTTGTAAAAGGCTATGAAAAGATATGGCGGATTTCAGGGTTGGCTTGAGTCTTTTCATCACAAAAAATAACCAAGTGTGCTTTTTTTTTTTTTTTTTTTTTTTTTAACTCTCTATATGTTACCAAATTTATTTTCATGTTATATATCTACTAAAATGTAGATCAACAACAAAGGAGGAAACATGGGATCAGATTAGAGATGGTCACAACACGTTTTTTTTATGTACTTTTGAGTGTACAAAGGTTATTTGTATGTGTAATAGTGCAGATGTGTTATATGTGCTGTTGACCCATTCAGTGTTTTTGGCAGTTATTCAATAGTTGATTGTTAACCCCTCCACTGTCTCATCATTCATATTTCTCATAAATTCATTGTTTTTTTGTCACCGTTTTCTCATCATGCTCATTAACATTATGCATTCTCATTACTATAATGTATTTGTAATTCTGCATAAAACATGTAAAATACCATGTTTAAAGTGGTCTAAAATATGCTGTGAGATTGTACAATGTTTTTCCAGCAATTTCTTGAATCTCACCAAGAATTGGATAGGTGTGAATTAGGTATATCAGGAGTATATATACATATATATATTTTGTTGTTGTTGAAGAATACAGGATAGAACAGAATGGCATAAAAAAAATTAAAAAATTGAGAAAAATTAAATGTAAAAACCTCATTACGAAATTGGAGGAATGGCACTCAGCGAACACTATACTCCTTCTAATTTCAGAAAAGGAAAAACTGACAACACAATCTTGGACTCTGTAGTGCTTTGATTTGCCTGGTCTCTTGAGAAAAGTAATATATATGAATGTATGTGAGTTTTAAAATTACCAAAGATATATAAACCTAAGTATTAAGTGTTACCTGATTAGAATTTAAAAGAGACTTGGCGAATCAGAGTACTCCTGAGTTGAGGGTGAGTTGCCAGTTATATTTCTCCCGAAATTGGGGGCAATATAGATGACTTATTTATTCCAAGAGCGTGACACATTCATCGTCGTGGATACCGTTGTATCAAGAGAGTGATCAAAGGTGCAAAATAAAATAGAAAAATCCAACGAGAAATGAAGAAATGAACTTTCTGCAAATAATAAATGCATGTCTGTTGTGTCGGTCTATGCAAAGATATCTTTCTTCTACTGCAATAATATTGTTCTTAAGCATGCATGTCTACAGTCGATTCTGGATTTCACCTTGTCCGGCCCCACACCTTTTGCGTGTGTGCTATCATTCTATCATCCTGTTCCCTAATCTAATAGAAGAAATATAGACAAAATTTCCACGTAGAGATCACTGTGAACTAGAAAACACACGTTACTGTTGTCGCTGGGAACTGCTTGTCTGTCTTGAAAGTTTTCGATGCTGAAAATTCATCTCCATTCTATATAGATATATATTCATGCATGACTTCACATATAAGGGGAAAATATCTGTTTTTTCCACCTCTCACTGACGCTTATTATTATTAAAGATTTTCTATGT